GGGACCAGACCATACATCAACACTCGACACGGTCAACAACTTGGGCATCCTCTACGCGGACCTGGGACGGCTTGACGAGGCGGAGAAGATGTACTTGCGAGCGCTGCAAGGCTATGAGAAAGCACTTGGCCAAGAAGCAGTAAAGACGTATATACCAGCACTTAACACAGCTCAGAATATGGCAGTTCTCTTCCAGCAGACTGGTAGAACGCAGAAAGCAGAGGGTTTATACGAACAGGCTCTCTTTAGTGTTGAAGCAGTTTTCGGGCGTACAAGCAATAGGTACTGTAGTATTGCTAAGATCTTGGATGCACTGCGCAATAATAGGGAGCATGAAACATAAATTCCTAATTTAAAGTTGATGCTACTTCCTAATGAATTTCACAGTCACAGTCTAGTATTATAGTTAAAGCAAGATGCAAAAGCATACTTATAGGTTATAACAGCGGTAAGAACAATAGTGTGGTACATTATGTCGCTACCGCTAGCAGGGAGGACGGCCGAGCCGCAGCTCACAGCCACAAGCTTGGCTTGCTGGATGACATAAGTAAATTACACCACAATGCTTATGTCAGACGTGCGGGGCTGTTGTGTCCTAGCTGGATTAGTAACTACTTCCGACCCGAAGTACCGACCAGGGTAGCGATCTTGCATGAACTTGCGTGCGACAGCAGCCACAAGGCCGATGACAAATTCCCAGTATGGTAGCGAGGTTCTAAGGCTCGGATAAGGCCATTCTATGAGCATTAGGAGTGATGGGAGATTGATAGTGGTGCTGTGGCGACGGAATTCGGTTACGCTATAAAAGAAGGCTCTCTACAAATCAGGCGGGAAGGCAATGATGCAAACGTAATTTTTCCGTCGGAGAGGTTCCAAGGGCTCTAGGATGGCCACAGCAAACAACTTATACAATGTTATGGGAAATATCGATGTGTGCAGAGAGCTTGAGTTGTTTGAAGTCCATGTACCCCTTATATTGTGCGGCACAGTGTGTGTTGCGCCACCCAGGGACGGACGTTATATTGGCTATAACTTCATAGGCTTATGAGGAAAGACTTGAGACATCTGAACGAAAAAAATTCTCAGCACGTGGGGTTTCTCGCGACCTAGGGAAGCACCTTAGATGGTCTAAAAGGAATAATCGACAGCATAATTAAAAGCGTTGTAATACAGTAAAGTCCGTCCCTGGGTGGCGAGAAGCCCTTCCGCCACCTAGGGGGGGGGGGGCGTTATGTATAGCCTAGACCATTTCAAACACGGCAGTGACATTTCTTGTGACTGGCCTGAAGTGCCCGAATTTCTTTTCGCATTTCTTGGATCGTGGCCTTCATATCCCGCTCACGATTTCCAAAGTCCACAAATTCATCGTCAATTAATCCAATCTTAGTCATGATATATCCGTTCATCATTTCCTCGAGCTTTGCGAGCCTGTTCGAATCGTTTATAGGATGCCGCTTCGTATGGAGGACCTGGTAAAGCTTCATCTTTATAGCGAGTGCTGCACTTGGCAGTACAGTTGAAGTTTTGTTCTCTTAAACTAGTTTTATACCGTCGAAACCGGTTTCCAAATTGTAGGGCATATTTTTTCGTAGGGCGTGCAGAAAAGGCTGCCTTACGATTTCGCCTCATGTCCATCGAGCTACAGCCACGTTATCGAACAGTCGGGCGGAGCTGGGACTGGCGGATGAGGAAAGGTACGCAATACGCTCGAGCTAGTCTCATCGGACACGAAGCGGCTAGTAAATAAAATAGGGGAGGGGGGTTTGAAAGGTATTTTTGATCCCTCACTTTTCTCCTGAGCACTTAGAACACCTCCAACCTAAAAGTTACGCTCGCATCGTCGCCTTCGCGCCTGATTTGCGGAGAGTCTCCTTTCATGGCGTAACAGAAATCCTTCCCCAGCACCACTATCGAGCTCTTATCACTCCTAATACTTATGAGGGTCTTATTAAAGCTTTAGAGCCTCACTACTATACTGCCGGCGGCGAATTTAACATAGCAGGCATCGCGGATGGCAGCAATGTTTGGGGCAAAAGAGGTAATAGGGGTTACAAGGGTGCCGCTAAGCTACTCGAATATAAGTTTTGACTTTCATTGCTTGATAGCTATTACTTTATAAAGGCGTATACAACTCAGGTTGAAATTGATGTGAACTCTGCCTGTCTTGTAGTGGCCGTACGGGCCGAATATATACTAATAGGAAATGGCCCACCCCCTAGGTCTTATCAGCTCAGCTGAATAGAGGCCAGCTGAAAGGAATGGACACAGCTGAGAGGACCCTGGTGTAGCTGAACAGAGGGCCTCGCCACGCTGAGTGCGCGCTAGTAGCAACCAATCAAAGAACGAGAATCAAGGAGAGAGAAAAGGGGGGGAGTGCCTGTACGTAGGTGACCGTGAACCGTATGAGTTGTTGATCCTAGGTTGTAGCTGTTACAACCCGAGTATACACCTATCTA